TTTTATCTGATTTTCTTTTATTGTTATTTTAAAGATATGATTTTTTATTCATTTTTTTGGTTTTAATATAAAAATACCATTTTGCCCCTGCATTTAACAGAAAAAGTTAATAAAATTGACGGTAAGACCATTTGTCCTATGAAAGTGAAGTTAAAGGACCAAGGGAACCATTTTGGAAATTGAGGTACTCAAATGCAAATCGGGTCTAAGTTCAAGGACTAATAAAACGATTAACCCAAAATCCTGAAAATCAGTAGTTAAACTCATAAATAACAAAATCTTAAGCTGTTTTATAAAGACAAATAAAAAATTCCAATCACATATCAACTGCTGTAAGATCAGATCTTCATTCTTTCTCTTTTCATGGTTCAAATTTTCCTGTCTATCTTTTGATTCTATGCAAGAATTGCATAGAAATGAACCAGACATAAGAAAAGGACGGCACAAGCTCTAGCACCAGTTCCTTTACACACACACACAGATCAAAGCTCTAACTAAAATTTGTTTTGCACATAATAATAAGTGACCAAAAAAATCAGAAACCGATATGAAAAACTTCTTAATCTCAATTTTTAAGATTGTCATTAGAGAAAAAAAGGGGAAGTGAAAAAAAAAAAAAAGATGAAAATTGGGGTTGTAGATTATTGGTATATAAAGAAATTGTAATTTTTGTGTAATTGGATATGTTCTTGTATGTGAATCTTTTTAATGAATTAATTTTTTTCATCAGACAAGAAAAGTGAATGTTTGTTTGGTTTGTTAATAAAAAATAGTTATAAATCGGTATTTTAATTACTCTACTATATAGGAAGAGAGATCAAATTCGAATACAAGAGAGTGAATGACTGAGACGGTAGTTTTTTCAGCATCCTGCATTCTTACTCGATTTAAGATGTGACCAAGACAAGGTTCTCGACTCAAGGTATGAGACAAGGGGCATGGCAAGGGTCTGATGGTTCTGCAATTGGTATTAGCCAGGGACTTACTCGTTGTGCCAATTCTCTACAACGTTGGAATTGGATACATTTTGGCAATTTACAAGTGCAAATCCGGAAGGCAAAAAAGAACAAAAAAGGGCGAAGACTCTTCTTTCTTCGATTCATCAAGTCATGTCATACTCTCAAATCTCACCACCCACCAATCGAACATGCTCTTAAATACTCAAAATCTTTTTTTGTTTTGTTTCATTTGCTCTTATTTTCTCTATCGCTTTCAATTCAGTGCTTGAGTAGATTTGATATGATTTTTTTTTTCTCTATTCATATATTTTGATTTGGTTTTGGTATATATTCAGAGTGGGTTATTTATCCATCTGGTTGTTCATTCATCTATCAACACTTTTTAGAAATATGTTTATGTTTTTAAGTTTTGAAATCGGTAATAGAAAAAGAGATGAAGGAAAAGCAAACAATCACAAGAACAATTAGCAAATAATCCCAACAACAATGTTTTCATAAATTCTGAGAAACCAAAGGGAAATGTGTTCAGTTCAATAGATACGAACTGTACCTGATCAAACACGAGGGAAACCTGCGTTGTAGTTAATGTTACCCTATTTGGGTTTAGAAACCTAACTTAAATCCAAATGACCCTAGATTGGGTCAAGATTTTAATCAATTCGGGCCTAGTGATATAGTTTGGGCCTGAACAAGCCCTTACTTTTAGACTAACATAGCCCTATTCGGGCCTTGACCTCAATTTTGGGTCCGAATAATAGGCTTGAATAAAATAAAGGCGGGAAAGTAGACTATTCTATAAGGATATATGTAAAAACAGTTAAATAGCATATATTTAATGAAATAACTAAGACAAATTTCAAGATCTCTCTATCCAATTTTAACTTAACAGCAAAGGAAAGATAAGAGTCACAGATTTCTCTATTTAACTAATTCAAAACACCGATTACAATATAGGAAAAAACTAGAGATTTCTCTATTCAGTTTGAGCAATACACATGTCTATAACAATTCAAACTGATTATTTTAAAAGAAATCATACCATGAATATGGCAGAGCGACAAAAGATAAACGCAGGAGTTGTCAAATGGTTATCTGAATATTAAGTAAGCTTATTTGAAAAGATCTTGAGCTTTTTCAAGTATTTTTCAAGATGTTGCGTCTAGTTTTTGGAGAGAGTCCCTTTCTGATGTTGCGGAGGCTCTATATTTATATGCAAGAATTCCCAATGATGAAAGCTAAAAGATGATATTTGGCTGCTATCCAAAGTTAGCTGTCAAGTCGCCATTAATGGTGACAATCCTTCTTCAGACCCTCACGTGGGTCGATGTGTAACGGTTACCAATTTTTTTAACTTTAGTGTGGATCAAAGTTAAGGCAGCACTGCTGGCCTCTACTAAATTTTTACCCACTGTTGGCCCAAAATCAAAAAGGTTCTTTTGTCTTTTCTAAACAAAAGATATTGAAAGATATTGGGCATGGGCTTAATAAATCTTTTATGAGAATCAAACCTTTTTTGGCCCATTTTCCAAATACGGTACAAACAGGTTGCCATAGAACATCTATATATAAAGCAAAATGCACTTGGTTAATGCAAACATTAAGAATTGAAATTATTAATTAAATGAGGATAATATGAAAAATTCACACTTTTTCATATTAAAAGAAAAATCAGATCATGGATCCTATTTTTATGGAACACAACTACTTTTTTTTTTTTTTTTTTTTCTAAAATAAATTTAATTTAATTTTTTAAAAAGCCTCTCACAGGCGTGAAAGCGTCTGCGGATAGGCTAGTAAGCGTTGGAATATTAGGTACTGATTTCGATTTTAGGGAGAAGAGGGAAGGAGAAGATAGGACATCAAAATTCTCTCTGCAAAACTGACTGTGCTTGCCCAATATACAACCCAGCCATTCTCATTCATATATATAAAAAACGATTTACATCAGGATCAGTACAAAATTGATATGCCAATGTGTGTATGACACTTGGCTATTTCCTATAGGAATTTTAGCCACAAAATCTCAACCATTCAAGTGATCTAAGATGTTACTTAGTCACCACAAGCAGTAAAACAGTACAAGTAAATATGTAAAACAATTTACACATCAACACTCCTTTCTAAATGTTTTACTGATTTAACTCCAAGTAACTCCCTCAGATAGCAAAACCTTTCCCTTGGCACTGCCTTTGTGAAGATGTCTGCAATTTGATCTTGAGCTCTGCAATATATCAGATCCACCACTCCTTGAATTGCATCTCTGATGAAATGAAACTTTCTTCCTATGTGCTTTGATCTTTGATGGAACACCAAATTCTTAGACATAGCTATAGCAGAAGTATTGTCACACATAATTCGTGTAGCTTCTAGTTGCTCCTCTCCAAAATCACACAACACAAATCTTAGCCAGATTGCCTGAGTTGTTGCTTCAACAGCACTTACATATTCAGCCTCTGCAGTTGACAAAGCAACACTGCTTTGTTTCACTGAGGCCCAAGAAAATGCACCACTGCCAAATGAAAAAGCATACCCAGATGTGCTTTTCATATCATCCTCTGAACCACTCCAATCACTATCACAAAATCCAATAAACATAGCTGATTTTCTAGACTCATATTCAATACCAAAGTCCAGAGTTCCTTGTACATGCCTCAATACTCTTCTTGCATCTCCAAAATGCTTCTTTCAAGGACCATGCATAAATCTAGCAAGCAAACTAGCTGAATACATGATGTCAGGCCTAGTTGCTGTTAGATACAGTAAGCTTCCAACTATTTTCCTGTAGGTCTCCTCATCTGCAAGTTCACATTCATCTTCTCTTTTAAGCTTTTCAGTTGGAACCAGTGGTGTGCTCACTGGTTTGCAGTCCTTCAAGCCAAATTTATTTAGCAGAGTCTTGGCATATTTCTGTTGGTGAATGAAAATTCTCCCTTCTTTCTGGATTACTCCCATTCCAAGGAAGTGATGCAACAAGCCAAGATCAGTCATCTCATACTTGTTCATCATATCCTCCTTGAACTCTTTCAACATCTCATTGCAACTTCCAGTGTAAACAATATCATCTACATATATAACTCTTCCAACATCTCACTACAACTTCCAGTGTAAACAATATCATCTACATATATTGACACAATAACCGCACCCATACCTTCTTTGATCTTCACATATAATGTAGCTTCACTTATGCTTCTTTGAAATCCACACTTGAGTAGATGAGTGTCAATGTCACCATACCAAGCCCTTGGTGCCTGCTTCAAGCCATAGAGAGCCTTTCTTAACTTATAGACTTGTTCGTGACTCCCTTCCAACTGAACCAGCCATGTGAGATTGAATCGATTTAGGATATGAAGATTTTGCGTTGAAATCTTCGAATACCCGCAGCGGAATCAACACCTAGATTCAAGAACGAACATGGACCATGTTGGAATATTAGGTACTGATTTGGATTTTAGGGAGAAGAGGGAAGGAGAAGATAGGACAGCAAAATTCTCTCTACAAAACTGACTGTGCTTGCCCGATATACAACCCAGCCATTCTCATTCATATATATAAAAAACGATTTACATCAGGATCAGTACAAAATTGATCTGCCAATGTGTGTATGACACTTGGCTATTTCCTATAGGCATTTTAGCCACAAAATCTCAACCATTCAAGTGATCTAAGATGTTACTTAGTCACCACAAGCAGTAAAACAGTACAAGTAAATCTGTAAAACAATAGACACATCAACAGTAAGTTATGATCCATGAATATCTAGAAAAACTCCTTTATGGTTAAATTGAAATTGAAATATGAGAATGCTCCACACAATGAACTTGAGAAACAAACAATCTATCATTTGGAGATATCCCCAAAGCTGTTTCCAAGATTTAAAAATAAAAAATAAAAAATAGGGTGCCAACAGTTAGTATCGAAAGCTTGATCTCCAACAACTATCACTTTCTTTATGAATCCACTGTACTGAAAATGCTACTTGTTTTCTATTCGCATACACAACTTATTTAGATGGATCAAAACTAAAAAATATCTACATATATTAAAGAGCCGATATTTTCTCTTCTCAGAACCCTAACTAAGCCAAGCACCGCCATCTTCTTCTCTATATCCATGGAACGTACGGAGCTTTTTATTGAGGAGAACAACGATCTGCCTCGTCCACCGCCGGATCTTGGTGTTGAGGAGAACAACGATCTTGTAGTTCTATATGATTTGGAAAAATCAGAATCTCTCTACATGGTATCTTCTATTCCATTTTTATGCGATTTCCTTATTTCTCTGGTCTCACAGTTCCTTCCATATTAGTATTTCTTAAACTTTTCGTCGATACGGAGTAATTACGACCATTAGATCAATTGTGTGGCTTCATGAACATGAACGTGAACATGATTATCATCATCATCATATAACTGAGTCTGAGTAGGAGTAGAATAGCGATGGTTATTAGAGGGTGAGAGTTGAAGAGGGAGAGATAGAACAGAAGCTTTAATGTTTGCTTTCACTACAACTAAGGGGCTGTTTGAGACAATTTCAATTTCAATTTAATGTTTGTTTATTGCTTTGCTTCTTGTTGTTGGGTTTCTTCCATATCTAGCATTTTTTTAATTCTCATTAGTCTTGTCTGATGTTTCAATGATTGTTGTGGCATTAGGGATTCTCTAAGGTAGCTTATGATATAAACAACAAGCTGGATAAGCTTGTCTCGTTGATTGCAGGCGGGAATTTGCTTTCCTCTCCTTCGCACGAGCCACCAACTGATGAAATTGGCAATCTGGAGCTGCTCAAGATTCTTTGGAAGGTGAGTGGGAAGGTTGACGTGCTAATGCACATGTTGGGCAAGTAGTGAGAGCATAACTCTAAATCCAATTCAGTTCCAAAGCCCTGTTATTCCTTTAAACTCTTATTCCATTATTTCACCCTTCCAAAGAATCTCAAGCTGTGAAATTTCCTCTATGCTGACAAAATGTCGTCGAGATACACTTATCCCGGCAAATTTCCTTTTAGCCCGGAAAATCCGTCGGTAGACTTATCCCCGCAAATTTTCTTCTATGCCGACAAAAATGTTTCTTTACTTCTATTTTGTTCTTATTGACCTGATATCATAGAGAGCTTCGCTTCCACAGCTAAAATTTCAGGGGACATTTTTCAGAAAACGTTTTTTTTTTGTGTGGACGAATTCAGAAAGACGTATAGATTTCTTTCTTTGATAGAATTCATTAAAAATCTGAGAAAAAAAATACACATTGTTTTTAATTTATTGGTTAATTGGGAAAAAAAAGTATTTTTTTTTTTGGACGAATTCAGAAAGACGTATAGATTTCTTTCTTTGATAGAATTCATTAAAAATCTGATTAAAAAAATACAATTTTTTTTTTAATTTCTTGGTTAATTGGGTCGGGCTGCAGCGAAAATTTATGAAATGTAATCATAATCAAGTAGACAAGAATGCCAATATTAATTAAAATAAAAAAGAATCATTACCTTCAGTGGTTCAAACGGATACTGCCTCCCTACTGCTTCAAGCTCCTTTTGACAAGTTTCGTTCAAAGTGTCAAATATTGTAACAAATAAACGGTCAACGATATCCATCACTTGCAAAAACAAGCATTTAACTGGTCAATAACTCACATCCATGGTCATATTGGGTACAAGGGATAAGACCTTAGACATTCAAATTCTACCTCAGAATAGTGCCAATAGATCTCCATTTCAACATCAAGACCAGTAAATTCACACAAATGCCTATGGGTATGTGAGTCCTCATCTCTAAAAACACTACTGTTGTTAATATTATGTTAACTCGCAATTGTACGGGGCAATTAGTAGTATAGCAAGACAAGTACGAGGTCGTATCCACGAAGACTGAGAAGTTAAAACTAGTTATGTACTTAGATTACCAAATTCAAGAAAGTAGGAGGTTATGTCTAAAACAGAATTTAAAACAAGAGTGGTTGTGATTGTTGAACAAAAGAAGCAAAATGAAATTGCAAACAAAAACAAGTAAACAAATGTAACAAAGAGTGGTTTTAAGAGTTGGAAAACAGATTTTGAGACTAGGGCATTCGAATCACCATAACAATTCAATTCTGGGTTATAAAGATTCAAGTAACAAGTCTAATTCAGATTCAAAGATTGATTCTACCTAAAGTATGATTAGGCCATGGTGTTTGGTCATAACCTTGTGTTCCTAATTCCCTAATTTGATCATCTGTTGTCTAACCTAAAATTAAGCATTAGGAACCCATTAAACATAGAAGAACAATTTAAACAACCAAGCATGTATCTAATCCCTGTTGTCGAATGTCCATACATACTATTCCTATTCATAGTTCAATTCGAATTAAAGCATCGTGTATACTCTTAATTCAAACCAAGATAGTTAACAAACAAGTTCTAATGGTGATCAATCATTCAAACAAACATGTTAACTTATAAGCATAATGAATAAGAACATGAATCATGAATCAAACTTGAAACTCCAAACTTATAAACCCAAAATATTCATGTTAGGTTACATCGAAGCCCTAGATATGGATTTAGCTACTCATAATGGAAAAGAGACTTGAACAGAAATGAGAAAACATAATGAATACAATAAGAGTAGAAAAACCCTTTTTCTGAAGTTCTGGTGGTGTCCAAGGCTTCTCCAAGTGCTTCTCCACTTCTAATGCTTCTCCAAGAGCTTCCCCACTTCTCGAAAGATGTATGAAGGATATGGAGGTGATTTGGGATGAGTTTGAGTGAGTGGTGATGGCTAAAGAAGATGAAATTCGTAGGGAAATGGAAGAGAAGAAAGCTGGAGCTGTTTTGGTGATTGTTGGAGTGTTTGGGATTGTGAGAGTGTTTGAGAATGGTTGGAGTGAATTGTGGGGTTGTGAATCCTAGGATTTGTTGTGTCTTGAATGTGGAATGGATGTGGTATTTATAAGGAGAGGGGAGTGATAAATCTGAATTCAATATGACTAATGCATACAACACTTGCATTATAAAAGATGAATTGGTTGACGCACTTCACTAATGCATACAACACTTGCATTATAAAATCTGAACTGGTTGATGCACTTCACCAATA